CCCCCCAAAAAAAGAAGAAACATGTATACAGATTAGCAGCAGTGACTCTTTCCAAAGAAAAAAAAGAAAATCCACAAACCTTGTCATAAGCAACTTAACATAGGGTCTATTTTACCTTTCTTTCTTTTTTTTTCTTCTTCAATGAAAAAACAAGCATGCCACTAGGAAGGACGACTCCGTAAATGATTATATCCTGTCATGCTGTTACTGGCAATAATCTCTTATCACAGCTAGATATAGACTTCCTTCTTCAAAGTTATGTAGTGAATGTGGTTAGTTAGAGGGAAAGTAGTTCCTGCAAGAGGCTGCTGAACAACATTTTTTGTTGTTGTTTTTTGAACAATTGGTGGGGTTTAGGTTATGATTTATTTGAGAAAAGACATCTTAAAAATCTGACAACTCTCATCAAAACAATCGAAATAACAAAAGAAAAAGTATGTCAATCTATTCTTGAACAAATTGTCTCTCTAAGAGAATTTTTAACCAACAATTTTCCTCCCCAGTGGCATGACAATTTTAAATAAAAAATACACAAATAAAATAAAAGGTACTTTGAAATGCTCCCTTATTCACAAGAGGTTGCCACAGCAGGTAGCATGTTGGATTTGGCAGATCTTTACGCTGGATGACCTTCCTTGCTCAGCCCTAAAGAAATCTGTGTCTACTCCCCAGATCAAACCAAGAATCTTTAACTTGTTTGGCAAATTTGTGAAGCAGTAATATACAGATCCATTAATTTATAAAAATGATAGAATGTGTATTCTCCAATGAACAAATACGAAAGCCAATTTAGATATTCCTGAGCTAATGTTTATAATACTTTAATAAACATGTACATGCTTATTCCTATATTATTTAAAGATAATAATGTGAGTTATGTCAGGTTAATTCAGCAGGTTTCGCAGTAAACAAAAGCAGGAAGCAACTGTAAGTTCTGGATCCACAAGTTACTGGGGTAAATAACTGTTACAAAATTGTTGTTTCTCTAACCTTACTACAGCTAAAACGTGTTTGTGCAGGTGACGGGAAACAAAGCGGTTTTGTGTCGTAAACAAATAAAATCCACTTTTTCCAAATCATTCCCCAAGCTTGGTTTTAAGTAAGGTTTTATTAGATCCAGTAATTACCAAGTAACAAGTGAGTCATGGTGCATAACACAAACCTTTAACTCTGGCTCTTTCTCACATTCCTCTATGTAGAGCTCATAGAGCTTCTGGTACAAACTCTTCCTCCCGCCAGATGAAATTCTTCGTTTGGCTGGTCGTTGTCGAGCACTTTCAACAATGTACTGAATAACAAATAACACACGCGTTATTAATGAATAATGGGGCAGGAAAGAACTTAATAACACAATGAATAAATTGTGCTTCATGTTTCTGAGTACATAGTTTAAATTTATTTCAGAGCAAAAAACAAAACAAAACAGTGGTTATATTACCTCCGCTCGATCCAATGCATATTCCAAAACTTGTTGCTTTGGGGGATAAAATTAAAGTGAAACAGATCAGCAACAGCTGGAAGTCACAGACCAATAGAGATCGGAATCTCACATGAAACACTACAGCAGGAGTCCTTTGTCTATGTAGAGATGAATGAACTGACAGAGATTAAACTTACCATTGTGGTCCACCGCCAGCTGCGAGCTGAGTGACGGTAGACGATGCTGTCCTTTCTGACCCACACTGTCACCTTCCTAAAGTGACCATTCACAGCCTGCACGGCAACACAACAGAGGACACGCAGGCAGTGTGAAGAGAAAACAAAAACACAGATTACTGGTACATTCATAGAGATGCACTCAGTGTGTTGCTGGCACGCTGGTAAGAGAGTGCTGATGCCAAATCATCCAGCTGACACTCAGAGATGCCACACACAAGCAGCTGCAAGGACTGAGGAGCCAAACTGTTCCATCTAAGTTCTTTTACCATTAGCTTATATTTTAAAATGCAATAACAAAGTAAACGTGACCACACGATGTGTCAGAGTTAATACAACAAAACAGCAAAGGTTAGTGAACTCTGGTGACTGTGAGCCCAGCCAAGAGAGAGCAGCTGAATAGCAAGAACTCGTTGATGCCTGACCGTTGGGCTAACATAGCCACCGTTAGCATGCTAGCCCGTTCCGAGTGGGCAAAGCTGTAAGTTACAAGCTACGCTGCCAGGCTCACGTCTTCCGAGACACAACCCGAACAAGCGACGACAGTCCAAACAAACAGAGTCGACTTGCCTTTTAGATTGCATAGCGGTCGACTGTAGCTCCGATGTAAGAAAACGAAATGAAATTGAAATATCGGTGTCTTCATTGAAAAAAAGTCGGAGCAGCAGCCATTTTCTTCCAGTGTGTCAACAACAGCTAAACTTCCGGTTTGAGCAGCTGTGGGCGGAGCCATACTGAGCGCCTACAAAGTTGCGCGTACTCTTGGACTATAGGTATATTTATATATTTACAATAGGCTATGACTGTTCATAAATAGAGGCTGTCCCAAACTTTAAAGCAAGCACATAACTAGTTGCAGATGTAGACCTCTGGAGGTTTCAACTTTATTTACTTTCATTACTTCAAGCAGTTAATTTCATAAGTGAATAAGTTCATAAAAAAGCAAAAACATGTTGTAAATGGATCTACAGTTACATGTCTTATAATATTGTATATTTTTAAAGGTTTTTTTTTCTTTTTAAATGTTGCTAGGCTAAATGATACCTAATGTACTATGTCACCTTTATTACTAAGCTTAAATATGTTTTGTTGATCTTTTGGGGTTTTTCTGTTTTTTTTTTGTCAAGAAATAAAAAAACCCCTAAAAAACAGCTCTTATGATAGTAAAGGTTGCTGACTCCCCTGAACCAGCCACATTTGCTTTTTTGTTTTTTTGCAAAATATATGATTAAATTAATCTGAAGATTATAGTTTACATCTTGATATGAAAGTGGTGGAAAAACAAATGTGTGCAACTGCTGATTAGCCAATGCTATCAATTTAAAGGATGTTAGTAAAATAGAATTCTTTAGAACTGCGGACTGAACACAAACATCCCCTCAAGGCAGCGCACTCTCTGGGCAGCATCTACTTTTAAGGGAATTGTTTTGTAATGTTTATATGTTCATTTTGTTTCCAATGTTATATTTAAAAATACTTTAAGAAGTTTGTAGTGCAGTAAAAACCTGATAAAGGTGGTATGACAGATGTTTACTTTTATTACCAAACATTATGTAGTAGGTAATGGATAATATTAGGTACTAATTTTTAAATAACTGGACATAGGGCTGTGTTCTTTCTCCTCTGCTCTTCTCCCTGTACACCAACTGCTGCACCTCCACCCACCAGTCTGTCAAGCTAATCAAGTTTGCAGATGACACCACCGTTATCGGACTCATCTCGGACGGGGATGAGTCTGCCTACAGGAGGGAGGTTGAACGTTGACCTGAAGTGGGAGCCCACCATCACCTCCGTCATAAGAAAGCCCAGCAGAGGATGTACTTCCTGAGGCAGCTGAAGAAATTCAACCTGCCAACACGGACGATGATGCATTCTACACTGCAATCATCGAGTCCATCCTCACCTCCTCCATCACGTGTGGTACGCTGGAGCCACTATCAGGGACAAACAGAGACTGCAGCGTGTTGTGCGCTCTGCTGAGAAGGTGATTGGCTGCAAACTCCCATCTCTGCAGGACCTGTACACCTCCAGGACACTGCGGCGTGCAGCTCGGATCTCAGCTGACCCTTCTCACCCTGGACACAGTCTGTTTGACCTGCTCCCCTCAGGCAGGAGGCTCCGGTCCATTCGCACCAGAACCTCTCGCCATAAGAACAGTTTCTTCCCCTCTGCTGTCGGACACATGAACAATAACCTATGACTGTTCCCACCACTAACACATGACCCTACGCTGTGTTCACTGCATCATTCCATGTTTGGCACTGATCACCACCTGCACTCATGTATATATCATGTATATATCTATCCACTTAGCACTTTTAATTCTTATTCTTATTTTTATATTTTTATGACAGTATGTTTGCACTGAAGCACCGCAGCAGTTTCCTGATGTTGTAAACCTGCTCAACATTTGGCAATAAAACCCTTTCTGATTCTGATTCTGATAAACGACTTAATCTTATGTAACTTGTTTATTTCTCAGCTCATTCTCTTTCTCTTGACAATACTTCAATACTTTATTTAGAGATATAACACAAAGAAGGAAAGGCAAAATGTAAAACTGAGGTCAGAAGTCAAATGTTACATGATATTTGGATGCAAACAATATTGTGATATTTAGATCATTTCATACATGTTCCCAGTATAAACAGAAAAGGATAAAATAAATTTTATTCAATTCAATTTTATTTATACAGCGCCAAATCACAACAACAGTCACCTCAAGGTAGACCCTACAATAATACATACAGAGAAAACCCCAACAATCATATGACCCCCCCTATGAGCAAGCACTTTGATGACAGTGGGAAGGAAAAAACTCCCTTTTAACAGGAAGAAACCTCCAGCAGAACCAGGCTCTGGGAGGGGCGGGGCCATCTGCCAAGACCGGCTGGGAAGAGAGAAGGAAGACAGGATAAATCTTTATGAAAGTTTGACTTTATTTGACCTTGAAAAAGAGGTCAGAGGTCCAAAGCACTGTGATATTTAGAATCCCCATATATCATTCCCTACATGCCTACATGTTGTCAACGCAAATAATGTCAGTAAAAAACATAGTTTTAATAAATAGCTCTGTATTATTATATTATTATAAATTTGACCTTCAGATTAATCTATTGACCTTAAAGGAGAGGTCAGAGGTCAAACGTGACATGATATTTTAAATCTTTTTATGGTATTTTCTATTTTCAATACACCAGCATTTGTAAGAGTCATAGTTTCTAAGTTATAAGGCTTTTTGTCAACCAAAAAGTCATTAAGCCGACCTTGAAGACCTTAGTGGATGCAAGCAAAATTTGAATGGATTGTTCGCATGACCCCACTCCAAACCCCTACAAAGTTTTATCCCGATTTATTCCAAATGTTTCGAGTTATCATGTTTATATCCAGACAGAATGAAATGCAAGAGGTTTGGAAGAGACAATGAAAATGATCTGAAAGGATACTTTTAAAAACAAACAAACAAACAAACAAACAAAAATAGTTTTAAATAAGACAGAGCAGCAGATGCAGTATATTAATTCAGGTTTCCAAGTAATTTAAGAATTTATTTGTTAATCAAACAGCAGCTACTTTGTTGCCAAAATTGTTGCAAAAACAAATCGTTCTTCTAATTCTTGAAGGGATATTTCAAAGAGGATGAGAAGTCACTTAAATGATAGTAAGTTTTACATACAGTTACAGTGTATGTAAATTGGTTGGTTGAAATGCCATGACTGTGCAGTAGGGGGAAGTGTAGGATAGCCAATTCATCATGCTCATGTTTCATGTTCCATTTGGCCAACAGATGAGGTGCACAAATATAAAGGAAAATTGATTTCATATGCTATAAAGTTACTGTGTGCTTTTTTCTTTCATTCTTTTCTTTTTTTGTACAGTTTTACCTCTGAACTTACCTTGTAAGCTTAATATTCACTTTAGAACACAACAGAATTTTAGTTTTGAGCATATACTGACTTCAGATTGTGCTTTAGAAATGTATATAAAAGCATTTTATATAGCCAAAAGAACGGACATGATTATGATTTCAAAATATACATTTCACAGAGAAGTTAGATAACTGAAAGGTTCTGAATATTATTGGTTTATTTCAGTATTAGTGAGCACCATAAATGTTCTGGCTGGGAATCAGTTAGGACCAGTACTCACCTGCTCTGCACACACACATGCACATAGGCAAACACAGGACGGGGCTTGCCTGAGGTCAGTCACATTTCAAATGAAAGCTTCTAAAACATTTGTATGTACACAAAGGGCAGGACTGCAGTTCATTTGCCTGTGGAAACGGCTTTGACTGACTCAGTAATGAATGTTTCTCCACTGACTCAAATCCCACAGCTAGCTTTATGAAGTGATGAATTTACCAGAAATGAGGCATTACAGCAACACCACTTCTTGGACAGTTATTTGAAAGGAAAATAACAATCAAATGAATGGGTTACTGAATTTTTGTGTGCACATACATAAACAGATTAAGAAAATGAGTAAAGGAAAAGTCTGTTTCACATTGGATAATGAACACCATTCTCCAGCTTTTATACTCTGACTTGTTTCTGTCCAGGACTTTCGCAAAGACCCATGCTGCGATGCTGAATTGACATATCTCCTCACAATAATTCATTCTTCATGTCATTACAAGCTGAAATTCATTGGAGTTTGGCATGAACAGTGAAGTATCACATAATACTGAACAGCGGGAGAGTTGGAGACTGTGCTGAAGAAAAGCGCAATGTGACTAAATGTGATGCCAGTACTCTGTAGAACTGCCCAGATGAGCCTTCCTTACTGGATCTGGAGCATTTCTAGATGTGTGAAAAGATTAGCATCAGAGCTTGTGCAAAAAGCAAAGTCACATAAATCTGTTAAAAGTTACTGCAGACATGTGCACCGTGAATGCATACGAGGAAGGTATGTTCCATTTTAAGCTTATTGGGATGATTATGACTCCGAACACAACATGATGGAAAATATTTGGCAGGAGGTCAAGTGGGTGGCAACTGGTGCAATACATCATAATTTATCTTGCTTGGTCCTGAGTTCAATTCAACCATCAGGCCAGGGTCTTTCTGTGTAAAGTTTGCATGTTTTCCCCATGTTTGCGTGGGTTCTCCCCGGGTACTCCGGCTTCCTCACACATGTCCAAAGACATGCAGTTAGTGGGGATAGGTTAATTGATCAATCTAGGTGTCAATGCGGGAGTGAATATGAGTGCGAATGGTTGTTTGTCTCTGTATGTTACCCTGCAACAGACTGGCGACCTGTCCAGGGAGTACCCCGCCTCTCGTCCTATGACAGTTGGGATAGGCGCCAGCCCCCCGCGACCCCGAAAAGGATAAGCGCAAGCAAATGGATGGATGGATAAATAAAGTGCAATTCAGTGTTTTAAAATGAAGGATGCTTGTTTCCATACAGATTTTTTTGCTGATTTTTCACACTGAATGTATACATTTTTCTATTTACAGAAACCTCTGTAATAGTAAAAACAAAAACTGATGGCAGAAAATTACCAGCACATTTTCCTTTTTTGTTGGAATGTATTTCTTTTTTCTTTTCTTTCTTTCTTTTTTGCAGTGTAGTAATCCTTTGTTCCTGACAAATTAAAAATGACAGCTCAATACTCATGAACTACCATTCATGAATTGTGGAGAAAGTTGCATTTGGGTTTTTGGATATTGTTTCCAAAATAGACCTGCAATCATTTTGCTCATCC